TGTATATTAATTGAATATATATTTCTGTAAAAATATAGAAGAATAACGATATAAGAAGAAAAGTCAACTTCAATTTTATCAAACAATCATGTACAAAATGATTAATTATCCGCTTTTTAATGGATATGAACAGCAAAAGTAAGATTTTCTTTTGGTTTTTAGCAACTTGTACGTTCTTAAGTATTTATAAAAATTATATATTTACGGATACTTGTATACGGCGATATAATACACGAATATATTTTTCGCGAATACTATCTCTCACTTCTGAGAAATGAAGAACGCAAAGATGTAGGTGAAGGTCTTGAGAGTTCGTCCACGTCGAGAGTTAGCACCACCACGACGATCTCTACTTAAATTGACCAGCCAGCCAAGCAACTGGGTTACTTTGGTGTACACCGTCCAACGGTCAATGTCTTTCTCGTTTCAAACTTGGTGACTGCGCGTAAAATTCAAAGGTTGCACCTTCAACGTCGCGGATAAATCCAAACCGAATCATAGTGGAATTAAAATAGTGCAACTATTTTAACTATAAAAAGTCTTAATTGGCTAGATGATTTCTTGACTTGAAAAAATTTACAATCAGCTAAGCAACGAGTGAAGTTCTCTGAAGAAACAAGAAGAAAAAAGGAGCGAACAGAGTGATCGTCGTGGGAAGAAGAGACTAAAAACAGCAAATTGAATATTAACCAAGTATTAATTATTATGATTATTAATAAGTGAACAAGAATTCATTTAAAAAAGCTTTCTGTAATTATGTGCAATTTTAAATAAATTTTAAATAAATAGCAAATTAAAGGCAAAAGCTTTTAGATATATGGGAAAAAAACTAAACAAGAATGCTCACTAAAATGCTCACTATAGAAAGCATTTTGAAACGAGCTTGTCCTTTGACCTTTAATAAAAGATTAATCGAAAAACAATAATATCCATTTAAATGCGAATTCAGCTTCGCATTTAATAGAAAGGAAAATGCTTGAATGGAATAAAGAGAAAGCGTACATCGAAAAGTAAAACTCAAGTAAAATGCCGAATTTATAAAGTTGATCGTGTTTAATTGAAAGATTGAATTATAGCTTGTATAAGACGCAGTTTAGAGCTTCTTCTCTCGAATGGAGGATTAACTCTCGTTAACATCCGTCTGCAAAAGTGTGTTTGGCGAGCGTGAGTGGTAAAAGTGGATCAATGTACAACTCATCAAGTTCGCACGATAATATCCTCGCGGTATACTCTAAAAAATATTGTTGTAAATTTAACATCATGATGTGATGTCTGTATAATTCTCTCTATATGTTAATATAAACATCAGAGATTGTAAATCCACATCATGTTGCTATTATTAACCAACACGATGATAATTTTAAATTAAAGATACAGCATAGTGTTGAATACACACTGATATTTTTTAGAATGTACGGCCTTTTCCATCGGCAATAAATATCCTGTACAACACGGAAGTTTTGTGCGGAATGTTTTCAGAAACGTTTCAACCTTTCACATCTCATACGCAACGATTCTAAAAGGATTCTATGCAATATGTTATATGAAATGCTTTAACAGAAATGTTTCTAAAATCTATTATATGCAATAAATTGAAAAACATATTTAAACAGAACAAAAAATCATCATGATGTTAAAATGGCTCCAAAATGTTTACTAAAAGTCATTTTTTAATCAATCGCAATTCAGTTTAACGTTATTTTGTTGATGTTATTGTGATTTGTTCTACTTTAATTGGAAAAAACTTTATATATATGATAGGTATATGAATAGCTTGTTCTGCTTTAATTGCAAAAAATTTTTTGAATATGAATGTATGAATATTCGTATATGAATAATGATATTGTGTGGAAATTCCAAGTGTGATTTTTTAATAGTGATTATGTATAAATGCATAAGTGTTTATGCATAATAATTGATTAATTAATGATTAATTAATCAAAATAGTTGGTGATATAATTACTATTTTTGAGAAATATTTTAAGTTTATTTTAATAAGTTTTGTAATTTGTAAACAGATCACAAAAATAATATTTAAATATATACTTAAACAAACAATATTCAAATTTATTATGTCGACATAATAAATTTAAATATTATTTAAGTATCAATCAAGTATATAAATCATTCAAGTATTTAAATCATTGTTGTAAAAATGAAACCTCTTTAGTAATATTTCAAAAAGATTGCAGATTCTTTGCGCGACCTTTGCATGAACTTTCATCAACTTTTCAACAAGGTTTCATGTACAAGAATTGCGGATATTTTGCTATTTCAGAGCTGTTTCAGAAAAATATTATATGTTGCAGACATATTTTGCAATTTTTATGAAATATTTCACTTTTCAGTTGAAATATTTCTGAGATATCTCTGAAAACTTTCTGAATGCTGTATGGGACCCTTCCTCTGTAGTAACGCATTTCGTTACAATGATAATAACTGTGTTAAATGACGAATGACGGTATAATAGAAAACTGAAAATTTTTCATATTAACTAGTACTTAGTTAAATTCGTAATGAGAATTTGGAATTCAGCATACGTAATTTAAGATGTGTCATGCGGGTTACAAAAACTCGTCAATGCCACCGAATTACAACGTCGCGTTCTTTCATGACGTGGTCTTGAATAGAAACGATATCGCGTTTATACGGTATTGCACTTTGAGTATCGTGATAGGATAGAAAGTCGGATCTGAGCACACGGTGAATATAGCACATCACGAAACGCGCGTGTTCCCATTGCAGCAGCGAAGCTGCTTCGTTTACTACTTCCTCCCAGTGTCTCACTTTCGTTTCACGAATCGTTTAAGCATCGACACACTCGCGAAGAATTTCAAGTAATTGTCGTTGGATAATAACTTTCGGATTCAAGGTTCTTGAAATAGCTAAGAAGAATCGATGTTTTTATGAAGGATAACTTTTGTCAACATTCTTATACGTTGATTAACAAAGGCTTTTCTGAATCTCTACTGTGAGTTAAATTAACTTCCGATTAATTAAATTTCTTATACAATTATCCCATTGATACACAATACAATTTAAATACATAAAAACAAAAATGTTTGCTCAATACAATTAATTTTAAAATTGTGTAATATTAAAATTATATACTTGATTCTAAATGTTTTGATTAGAATGTAAAGCTTAAAGCTGATTAATTACTAAAATATTAAATCAGATATTAAGCTTATTATGAAAAATAATTTAAATTATCTTTCTTATTGGTTCATACAATATAAAAATTTATGAAAAAGTTATAATAGATCTTTCTTCACACACACACTCATCTTTTTCTACACTAAAATTATATATATAAAATATTCATTGATAATCACAAATTAAATATATTGTTTGTAAGGTTTAATTAATTTAATTCATTAATACATGAATAAAAAGTATCAGTACGATAAAATGATTATTGTGTGTAAGACGAAAAGCTTGATTTTATAAAGATACATTAAAATGAAAAGAAAATATGGTTTAAATATTTTTAATAAATTTAATGCTAATTAACAATTAGTAATGCTTATATCTTGGCTATATTAACATAATTCTCTATCCGTCTAGACATTATAATGTCTCTATGCTTTACAGATGCTTTCCGAGACTTTCTCTTTACGTTCCATGCCATATTAATTGCTAGCGAACCGGAATAATTTGTCCATGATTCGCTATTTGATTTTCTCATTTCTCATTGCTTTTATATATGTCAACTATGTTTAATTAAATAAAAAAAAGTTAACATTTCTAAAAATTGATGTTCTAATTTTATCAATAATAATTAAAAAACTTTAGATTATGTGTGTGTGTGTGAGATGCTCTTTTTCCATTAAATGAATATTCAATCAAACAGTTTAATGTCAAAATTAAAAGTAATAAAAAAATAAAAAAAAATAAAAAAAAAAGTTTAATGTCAACTAGATTCTCTTTTATTAAGAGAGCAAATTATTTTCTAGAGTAAAAAAACGATTTTTAAGAAATTGTTTTTTAAATATCTATATAATCTCTCTCTACTATGATTCTAAATCTTATTAATATAATTTACATTTTTAAAAAGAGTCAAGGTATACTTATAGCACAAGTATCACTTTAAGGTAAAAAGATTAAAATAAATGTTTTTAATTTTTATAAATCTAAAGAAATATTTATCATAACTTTAAACACTTTTCTCAAGACGTATTATTTTATCAAGATTTGGACGATATTTCAGTTATATTTTAATATTTTTGAATGAAAATTGACACAAATATTTTTAACACCATTCGCTCAGTTTCTTAAGCCATTTTTTTAAATTTGTATTTTTATTTTTATAAAACAAAAAAATGGATGTTAACTAAAAAAATTGATTTTAAAAATGACTTAAGAATTTAATTTTGTATTATAATTACCTCAGTTCAATTTAAGATTGCGTTTAAAAATCGAAAATGATTTTGAAGCGCCTAAAACTGGATGTGTACATGTAAATTCATGCTGAAATATTATTTAAAATGTAAATGTGTTGTTAAAATGTAATGTGTGTTTAAGATCCAGTTTAGATAAGATCTTTTCTAAAAAAACATTAAAAAAAACAAATTCATTTAGTAACTTTTTAAAATAATTTTTCAAATATTATCGTTTTTTTTATTTAAAATAATAATTTATTTCCTTAAATATTTAAATTAACATAATCAATTTATATATTTTCTTCAAATTTCTGAATATGCTGTTTTCAGAGATAAGGAGGATGATAGCTACATTCGATCAGCAGAAAAAGCAGCCTTGCAATAACAATTCTGCTATTGCAATAAAAATTCTTTAATACGATTAATCTTGCCCTTAGTGTATCTTACTGAATCTAAATACATAAACAATCACATTAAAGGATTTTACAACAATTGTAAAACTGCTTTTTCTTGCCGATTTAATACAACCAATGTTATTCCAAGAAGTTACATCAAGATGTAAAATCCATTAGATAAGGCATAAGATAAGATATTAATTAGACTTGCATTACTTTTCAGATGATGATATCGGAAGGACAGCAAAAGAAATATGATGAATATAAGAGTACGTTGGATGCGGAAACGCTGGAAATAGCTAGATTGGAACTCCGTGAGGATGACAACATGAGGGAGCAAGCGCTGAAGCAATTTCGGCATTGGATCGAGAAACATCCTGCGATTAAAAAATGTAGGACCGATTCGTTGTTTTTACTAAGATTTCTTAGGACGAAGAAATTCAGTTTGCCGATGGCGCAGGAGATGCTGGAACAGTATCTCACTATCAGGCAACTTCATTCCAATTGGTTTCAAAATCTCGACGTTGATGATCCGGAACTTATGGCCATCATTGATAACGGCTATATAGTACCAATGTTAAAGCGAGATCAACACGGGCGAAAAGTGATAATGTCATTTGCAGGTATCAATCCCATGAATATAAAAGACTAATTTAAGACGCAGCTAAATCATGACATATTATAGTAAGGTTGCTCCGGATCTTCGGACAAACTGTTATGTTTATATAATTTATTTAATAGATTAAAGAGTCAAAGAGTAAGAGCATAAGAAAGTAAGAGAGTGAGAGTTAGAGAGTGAGCTGAAGTTTGTCAAAAAATAGAACAAGCCTAAATTTATTAAATAATAAGGAGGAGGATACAGTCACGATATATTTAGCGAGTCGTATATTTAAAAAATTATTTCATAAGTAAATACATCGTGCGTTGTGGCTGTATGCTTTTATTATTTATATTTTGTATTGTTTTAAGCCACTTCTAAAAGTTTTTCAAAACTAAATTTATTAAATATCTCTTGTTCGTCTCAAATAAAATCAAACAAGCATACTTTTCTCCTACGTTTAGCACAATCTTCAAGTAGCATTTATCTACATATTCCACATATAAACTAATATATAAACTAATCAGTTAGTCATTTATTTTCACGTTTCAAAGATGCGTTCGCAAACTTAAAGTTTCCAACTCTCGTGAACATTATTTCATCCTTCTTATCACCAAATATTAAACAAAATTGAAGTGACGTACGCGAGTGTCGAGAACGTTAAGTGGAACACATCCCCAATTATTGGTATTATTCAATTCATTGTATTGAAAGTTACCCAGTTTTTTAATAAAATTCTTAATTCGTGCTTGATATTATTATTATTATTATTAAGCCTGAGATTTCTGTTTCATAGTTAATTTCAAGCGATTAGTCTCCGAGCATATATTAGATATTCATACTACTTTATTTTCTCCGTTTTTTAAAGGGCGTTTCGACCCTAGTAAATTCTCATCTGCACACTTGCTCCGGGTTCATAGTATGGTGGTCGAGAGCTTAATGGACGATGAGAAAAGTCAAGTCTACGGCTACACATATCTCAACGACGAAGCGGGATTGTCCATGAACCATTTCGGCACGTTGTCTTTCATGGACATTCGTAATATATTGAAGTGCATACAGAACAGTACACCGATGCGTCACAAAGAGACACATTTAATCAATCTACCCAGCGGCGTAGCGAAGTTCCTCGAATTCGCCATATCTCTATTAAACGAGAAGCTTAGGTCTCGCGTTATGGTAAATATGGCTGCGTTTAAATTTACACATCCAAATTATATTTGCAATTTTTGCAGATACATAGGAACATACAAGAGTTAAAAGAAGCAGTGGATCCAAAGATACTACCGAAGGAATATGGCGGGGAAATCTCGCTTTCAGAAATGATCGGTACGAAGATTCTTTTCGCAATTCTTTCAAGTTTTAAGCAGACTCAAATTGTATTATTTCCTAACATGCTATCTATCTTTCATCTTTTAGATGAATTTAAGAAGGAACTAAAACAGAAAAAAGATGAACTCAAGGCCCTCGACGATATGTATATTGAAATATCGCCGAAATATTATCAAGAGGCTAACGAAGAATTAAGCGGAATATGCGGTTCGTTCCGAAAGTTAGAGGTCGACTAAGAGCAATCTATTTCTTTTCGATTTTGCAACTTCACATTGTCAGCACCTTATTTTAATAGTTATTTTTATGTTATGTGATTACACGTCGCGTATTAATGAACAAGTGTTTTACCAAAAAGAACCATAGAAATATATTATGATACAGAGATCGTGAGCACGTAAACGTATGTATGTACAAGCGATTTATACATCAATAATTGTTAACTGGTTTTAACTACATAGTTGTATTTTTATTCTTATATATTTTCTTATTATTCTTATATATTTTCTTCTGAATCGATTTATGATATAAACGACAAAAAATAAAATTAATTAGATAATAACAAGTAACATCCTGGCATAATCTATATATGAAATGTACGAAAATTTACTTTGATATAATAATATCTCGAAATATTGTGTGTGTATAGTACTCGTTTATAGCTTATATGTACATAAGTTTTCCTTGTTAACAGTTAAGAGATTTCGTAACGAATACGAGCTCGTTCCGCCGGTGGTACCAAGTTACCTATGATCTATAAGTTGTCTTGATTATCTTGATTACTTTAAGATTGTAAATTGTGGTTTGACATGCTCTTAGCTCACATTTTATTGATCTATCGAGTTTCAGGATAGACACTTTTATGTTTTATGTTGTGTATTTTATTGCATATTTTGATATTTCTTCAGTTATTTCTCTGACATGGAGATTATAGATCATCTAAATTGTCTTTAACGTTTCACGTCATTAAGACACGTACTGAAAAACTTTTTGGTATTTGTAACTATAATTACATATTATTATAATTATAATTATGACTATTATATACTGGTTGATTGGTAGAACTTTAGGGTAGTTATTTTAATAATTTTTGAAATTGACATCGGGACACTCCCTAAAATGGTTCAATATCTCAAAAAAAAAAATAATACCAGAATTTTTTCACATTTTTTGAACAATATTAACCCGTGCCACCGGGACACAGTAGGCGGAAAAGCACCTTGAGGTGTCCCGATCAAATTTCAAAAATTATTAAAATAATTTCGACCATTCTAATATACATATTATATATACTTACTACTAATACTATAATAGTCATAATTATAATTATAGTAATATGAAATTATAGGTATAAATACCAAAAAGTTTTTCTCTCAGTGCATCCAATGTACGAAACGTACATTCGTAAATACGTATTTTTGAACATGTTTTATATATATTCGAGTTAGAAAACAAAGCTGTTAGCTATATATATGAAGATCTTAAGATTTATAATGTTTATTATATAATGCTCTTATATTGTAATATTATTGTTTAATGGAATTTGGCAATTTAACAAAAGATTTTCCATTCGTAAAACATATTTAATGATTATTTAGATATTTTTACTTTACGATTAGATTTGAGTTATAACGCCGCTAAAATGTCTATTGCGAAACATGTAATTCTGATTTGATTTTTCTAATATGAAGAGAAAAAGAGAAAGAGATTATATATAATATTTACAGAAGCTAGGTGTCGGTCGTAATTTGTGATGAATATATAATACGTAAGATTCAATATATTTTATGATTTCTTTAATGTTTAAAGGGAAAATAACAATGTGTAATAGAAATAATAGTTTTAAGAGCAATTGCAATTTGTACCGATATTATCTAAATAAAAAAATGTTTTATTCACTATCGAGAAAGGGTTCATTCTCTAAATAAGATGTCTAAAATTTATAATTTATTTAATAACGTTATGCATTTATCTTTGCTAAATAAATATTAGATAGTTTATGAGCATTAAAAGAGATAAAACATACATTATCCGCATTTTATTAAGCGTAGTACCAATAGACATTTATTAGGTGTTGGAATTAATTCGTAGCGTTTTACAAGTGATGGGAAGTACTTTCATTAATGTATTTTTTAATGCTCATGTGAAATAAATAACATTCTTTCATTAAAAACGCTACGAATTAATTCCAACACCTAATATCATAATATGAAATCAAATTTGCTAGATTCGTTTGCCTTTTAATAGTTTTAATTGAACATCTCAATTGGTTATATATGTATATAGGCGCGCAAGAGATTTTTTAAAAATGATAAATCATTCATTATATAAATAAACTAAATCTTCTTTTTTGTATACACATATTTATTGATCCTCGTTATCAACGTTTATTATTTGTTTTAAAAATTCTGTGCTTGCAGGCGCTGTAGTATAAAGACTTCCTGAAATTAAGAAAAAAGTCAGAACAATGCAATGTAAGTTAGATATGATAAACGTTTTCCTAAAAGCAGATTTGCATCTCAATTGTTACAGATTGTTATCAATGCACACACACACATATATATATATATAGCTATTTACATACCAATAAAATTTTGTAGACTACTATCAGAAACAATAATTCTGCAATTGTTCCTCTGTTGTACTTTAAATCCTATGCAGCGAAATCGTTCATCGGTTTCGTACAGATTGGCGCCCTTTCTTGGACTCAAGTAGGGTTGTCCACTGAAAGGATTTATAAAGTCTGCCCAGTAACCGACTATTTTGAGTTTTGTACATATATCGGAGGCTGCTAAAACAAACTAATAAACTATAATGTATAAATGTATCTTTTCTCTGAGTATGTAGATATATATTTAGACTTATGAGATATCTTTCTTATTTGAAAAGCTGTTTTTTAAGTTGTCAGAAAATTAAATAATATCAGCGAAAAGAATATATTTTCCATATGATCTTTGATGAAATAATATTCACTTTTATTCACTTTTGATGATTGATGAGATAATATTAAGGATAATATTTATCTCATTCGTAATAATTCAAAAATCATTAATTATTAAATGTGTCACTTTTGAAGTAAAGAAGCGATATATATTTGTTATATACTAGATTTTTAAACAAAAATGTCATACTATCATACAACATTGTCATATATAACTTACATATTTGGCAAGTTTTTCTGTTTCTGTTTCTTTACGCCATCTCATCGACTTAAGATTTGCTTTCTGACTAATAGTTATAATAGTGAGATGTGACATAGTCACATCTAAGCATCCCGGAAATAGTTCTTCTATACTTTTTCGTAGAAGAATAGGACACTCCTGAGCCACACAGTCCAATGTCGGCTGTATATTCTTCCAATTTTCTATATCTTTTTGATATTCATTTTTATTGTTCAATGGCTCCATAAACTCTTCTTTATCACACAGTTTAACGAACTGAGTCTTAACTTGAGCAGTGGTAGTAGCATCTAGCCAAGCAGGTCCTATACTTCCAGGAAGATAAAATCTAAAACCCCTTGGCGTTAACAATTCCCAGTTGGAGTTGACACCCAAAACGCTGTTGTCAATATCTGTATTTTTACAATATACAATATACAAATAGTAAATGTATACACTTATATAAAAAACATATATACTTTCGATGACTTATATAAAATTCAAAATTCAATAGCCAACTTGTGTATCTATAGTTGCTTTCCATTTACACTGAACTATTCTTAGGTAAGATAGATTCTCACTTGTGACGTCATAACTCAGTTGAATGCGCGTTCCTTTTGTATTCCGACAAGTGAGATTCAACTGAGTTTTTACTTATAATCTGTACAAGATCGAGACGATGTGCTTTAGCAAGTCTGGTAAACTCACTTCAAAGTGAGGTTATAAACCTGTGTTGACCTGTGATAACTTTTTATCAAAGTAAGTAAGTAGCAACATCATTAATCTGAGTATAAAATATTCAGCTCACTTCAGACTCAGTTTCACTTGTGTGTGAATGGAAAGCAACTAATGTATATATGCGAAGGGTTCCCGTTCCGCTCGCCCTAAAAAACCAAGTCAATTTTTTAAAATTAAATCTCATTTTGCGTGCATCGTTCTTAGTAAATAAATGATTCTATACGAGTTTACAATTATTCTTTTCACACGTAGCAAGAACAGAGAAGGATCTTTTTCACGAATGTGACAGATTTCCTAACCTGAATAGTCATCAACTTTAATGATTAATATCTCGTAATTAACGTCTCTTCACAGTTGACGGGAGTCGCAGAGCGACACTTTTTTCTGCCAGATTTTTTCGTTTTTATGCAAAAACGCGTTGAATGAGCCTAATTTCATCAAAATTAAAGTGGGCGGGGATGTTTGAAATAAATACCCAAAATTTATACGCGAGTTCTCGCAGGCCCGCAACACGTCACATTCTTCCAATCTGATGATACAACGAATGACTGAAGATGAACAATCCAGGTTACTAACCGTCCAAGGAATCGCCATTAGATTTGACAATCTTGTAGGAACTCGTGCTTCGGTCACTGCGACGCGAGTAAAGAGCTCTCGGAATCAGATTAAACAGCAACGAGACGCTGTACCTCCTGCCGTGTTTAACGCAGAGCATCTGGAAGTAACGTTTCGCAGGTTATGCATTCGCGAATCGATTGGCTGTGGCTGGCAGGAAACCTCTTGGCTTTTGCTTGCACGGTTACCCGTTTACTGTGTTACTGACCATCACGAATAGCAGTTCATAATTAGATCGCAAACGCAATTTACATGGAGGATTTTGGATCCGGGCAACAAAAACGGAGTGTATTTACACGCTGATCGCAAAAAATTATCATCTACCTTATATCTTCTTTATTTACAACATATCGCTTGACGTATTCGCTCGTCATTGCTCGTCACGCGTTCGATGCTGCCACCTGCTGGCTGAGTGTGGCTTTGGAGTTTGGACTGTTTGGAGTGGCAGCGAGTGGCACTCAGTTGCACCAGAGAGGGCAGAGAGTACATTCATTTTTGGTTTGGGAACTACGTACTACGTAGCTACATCCATTTCTTGAGCCTCCTGTCGATAAAAACATAGCACAGAGAATTACGGACGATCCAGGGCGGTAGCTTAAATTGTACGGCCGATTTCGACGGTAACAATAAAAAGACTGGCATGCGCAGTCTCTCTCTCTCTCTCTCTCTCTCTCTCTCTCTGCATGTACTGCTTTATTAATATTTTGATTTAAAATTGTGCTATAGAACTTCAAGTAATAAAAAAGTATATATTTCTTTATATCATCGGGTGATAAACATCCTCGAATTATTAGGCAAAATTCTTTATTGATTACACTTTACAATTACATTTTTTACTGGATCATGACAATCTGAAAAAGTTCAGTATCTCGTGAAATAAAACGCCATGCGCGGGAACCTATAATATATATATATGTATATATGTATATGTGTATTCTTTCCCTCTTTATTTAATTATACGGCATACATTCGTTCGTAGTAAAATGATAAAATTCACATAAATACGTCACGTTACACGTATATGGGGGGGGGGGGGACGTAGCTCACGTATATATTGCATGCCTGTGTATACGTATTGTATACGCTGAGTCTATACATATATTATATGTATATATAAAGATTTAATACACGAGATAAAAACATCGTAAGAAACTAACACGTCGAATTATTTCTCATCGTTAATGTAATCACGTGGATATCCTCCACTTGGTGTCCAAAAATTGAACATTTTTTTGACATTTTCCCCTCAAATATTCACAATATAGAGCACAATATGGAGCATCGTCGGAATGATTTTTCTCTCTTTTTTTCTTCCGTTTCTGTCGTCGAACGAATAATCGTTCATTCAGTGCAATTTCGTAAGCACGTACATATGTATATGTTCTTTGCAGGCTTCAAATTCGATACGTCAAATTCGCTTCGACGTCAGTGACGAAAAAGACGATAGGTCGCAACGGAGCTTCCGGATGCAGCGTTGACGATTCGTGGACATTTCGACTGGATGCATACGAGAAAAAAATCATGGTAAATTAGAGCATGAATTACATCTAAAACTGTAAATTCCAGTAGCTAAAAAAATTTTTCTCGAGTGTTTTCAGTTTCTCAATGTGTTAATTTTTCTCGAGTGTTTTCATAGTTTCTCAATGTTTTAATAGTAATCGGTAAATATACAGCAAGTATAAAATGTATTAAAGAAAACCTTATTTTTAAAAAGTAAACATTATTATTCAGTGAGAAAACATGATTTATCAAATTGATGATGAATCGATATCGATACAATTTTGACACCAATTCGACATCTAATTAGCGTCATTTATCAAATTAATGATGAATCGATATCGATACAATTTTGACACCAATTCGATATCTAATTAGCGTCATTTTTTGCTGGATAATTAACAATTTATTCATACAAATAAAGTAGACCGTACGTTTCTCAAAATTATATGTATATACATACACCAAAAGGATGTGTATTATAGAAAATATATATTATTTTAAAAATAAACGAAAATTAAAAATTGTTTGGACGCCCCAAAAGTATATTCATACTAAAAGTAGATATATACATCGAGAAACTTCTAAAATCAGGAATACACGCGAAGCTCGTCGTTTATGTTGGAACAAAATGTTATTCATTGCATAAAATTATTAATTATTTAATTTTAATTGTTTATTTTCTACAAATAAGGCTTTTATAAAAAAAATTTCCTTTTACGAATACTTTTCGCACTCACTGTAGCTTTTAATACGTACGAAGGATTTCTATAACTAAGAAAAATCCTTTTGGCAAATAAATCTTATAGTTGCTTTGATAAAAAAAATATATTAAAAATTAGCTTTTCTTGAAAGAAAGAAGAACAATTTGTGTGTTTTAACATATAATAATATTTATATGTATACAAGTGTGTACATACGCGTACTTTTGGGTATATCAATACTTGTTAGTAAATTCTACAAAGTTTAACCAAACCATCCTTCTTTAATTATCACATATTACATACTACTTTTGATTTTCTTCATGAAATTTCTTTTATATATTACATGTATATTATAATTACAATGCGTGTTAAACGTTGAACGCACGTTAAACGGGAATATTTTATAATATTTGAACATCTATTAATTCGCTCGATTTCTCTCTCGACGTTTATTCGTACAATATCATACCTTCTTAATCTCGCGAGGCTCGGCATTTTTGTAATTCGCATTGTCGCTCGAAATATTTTCTCAAGTATACTTATCATTAATACGGCAAGGCAATATGTCCACGAATCGTTTCCAAAAGTGAATCACGAGAAGGACGGGACGGCACGTCGACTTTATCGATCTCGAAAACTTTCCGGCACGAAACAGTCCCTTGTATTCGCACATCTAAAAGCCATATTAAGGCAGCGTTTTCCGAAGGCCGGCCTTCCACTTCCGAGGGGCAAAAACCAGAGAATCACGGTTCTCGAGTTACGATCGTCACGTTTAGGTTGAATAGAATAAGTACTAAATATATGCATATAAATTATTTTAAAAGAGGGAATGGAATTCCTTCTTGTGGAAAAATTCGTGGAAAAACCGTAGAAAATTTACCAACATTGTCTTCCTTTCTTTTTTTGTATATCAGGAATGGCGCTGGAACTTTGAAAATCGTTGCCTTAAGGGAAAAATAATAGGATTTAGTCGTACTTCCGCTTGATCGGTGTATTATATTAGTTAATCGCTATTTAAATCGCTATGTGGTGTGTTGGAACATTGGTACAAGTACGATATATTCATGGAAAGAGACAAGAAAATTCCCGGTTGATCCCGGGGCCAGTGACGCGTTTATTCTTTTTTTTTTCTTCTTTTTCTTTTTTCTTATACGTGTACAGGTACAGATATATAACATCGATTTGTGAAATCGCCTAATCGCTAGGCTATGGTCCGCAAAATATTCGTCAATGCGCCGATACGCACGAATACCTTCTCTGTCGTTTCCTATTTATTAGCATACGGCGTACCTGGCAATCAACGTTTCCTAAACCTAAATCTACACACACACACACACACACACTCACACCTACCCACACCCACACCCACACCCACACACACATACATACACACAGTACGTGTGTGTATATGTATGTGTGTGTGTTGTGTGTAATTTGTGCACGCACAAGATGTTCCTTACATCTTCAATCGTCCTCATTAAATGTGATTTTATCTCAGAATTTGAAAAAAAAAAACAATTTTTTATTACCATCCGGATTAATGAATATTTCTATAACCGCAAAATATTTGTGGCTGTCAAGAGTATTACTTTAAGCAAGATATATATATATATATATATATATATATATATATATATATATATATATATATATATATATATATATATATATATATATATAGAGCATAAAAACTATTCAGTATATATGCCAAATTTCAAATATATCAAGATATAAAAGCAAAAGTAAATAATTGCGTAGTTATAAATGCTCTATAACAAAATATAATGTATATTTTAACCTATTATTATTATAAATGTAATGCATATTTAATTTTCGCATTTAATTTTCAGTTGACTTTCAGTCATCTTCAATGATCGTACTAAAGTAAAGAATCGTACTAGAATTATTTAAAACGTTTGTGTTTACAAGGAATAGATTCTTACGAACGCAACGTATCAAAATATATCAATCATATAATTAATGAAAAACATAGATTAATTGTATTGCGATTCATTTAATCTTTCAAATTATAATCGTAGATTATAATCGTAGTATTACTATATATATACTATGATCTTAATTACAAAATAATAAAAATTAGGAAATAATTTTAATTGATATTGCTAAAAACGGAAATAATATGTAAAAACAATTATGAGATATTATATAAAATATTACAACATAAAACTGTAATATTTGTATAAAATAAATCACTTCATTTATTTTATGATCTGAAAAAGCTTTTTACATGATCTGAAAAAGCTTTTTACATTTTTTATATAATTAAAATAAAAAATTCTTGCACTTCCTTTAAATGCTTTAACAATATCATTTGTGTATACATTATTAAACCTACAATAAATACTTAATAGTTTTTGCCAATGTATATATATATATATATATATATATGCATACATACAGACTGTTTCAAATTCAACGTACTGCTGATGCCAGATTTTTGAAGATCTTTTGAAGACATTTTGAGATGAAAATTCTAATCCTAAAATGTCTCTCGAGACTATAATAAATTTTAAATTATAATCATTTAAAACGAATTATGCCGTCTAAAAATTTAGGTGTGGTACAATACAAAGTGTTAAAAGTAAAAGTCAATTATTATCTCTTGTTAATATCGATATAAATGTTACGTAGGTGAAGATAAAATTACTGATATTTCTAATTATTGATATTTATGTTAAAAAAATGTTTATTACTCTATTGTCTGAGATATTTTGATATCAGAATTTTCATCTCAAAATGGCTTTAAAAATGAATTTTCTGTCATTAGCAGATGGTGCATCGAATCTGAAATACCCTATATATATACAGGAATTATTTCAGATTATTTAATTAGTGATTTACTTCCTCTGTGCAAAATCATAAGAGAAGAGCGGAAAAGGATAATTGCACTCAATTAACATAAATTTTTAAAGAATTTTTAAAAGAATTTTCGTTTCTGTTAAATAATTATTGTCCGAAAAAAAAAATCGCCCGGAATCGGACGTCGAGATGCAAGGTCTATCATGCATAGCAATTGTGATTCTTTTTTTATCGTCGTACCTTGACGGCGCGCGGCACTTTGCCGGGATATTCTCTGGTGGAAGTCGATAAAA